ACTCAAACTTCCTTGTGGAGCACCTGCAGATGGTTACTGATCCCTAACTGACAGAGATAAACACCTCCCATATACATTTACTGTGTAATTGGTTTCCACATGGATAAAACACCTTCCTTTATTTTCTTGGTAAAAGTTTCTGTTTCAGCAGTTGCATCTTGACTATATGTGTTACATAACAGGATCATGTAGCATGCAGGGATACTGAGCAACTGAAGCAGCTGCTTTCTACAGAGGGAAACACTTCAGAGCTACTGGTTGAAATCCCCAGTGCTTGTTCAGCATTATAATTTCAGGTATAACGAATGTGGAATAAGTAATGTGGACAGGATGTGTGATGTGTGAGTGAGCTGGTTTGTAATTCAGATATATTGTTTTCCAAAACCATTTTGTTAATTGAATCCAAGCAGTTCGGTTCGCTGTTCTAGACAGAAGAATGTTCCGGCAGATGGGCGACATTTTTAATTTTTCTTCAGCTCTGCGGTGAGCGATGTGGGGCCGGCGCAGTGTCACCACATCCTGCCTTTGCCTGGATCACATTATCCAGCAAAGTGGCTCATCTCACCCCAGTCGGATTCCCTGCAGCTTCTCTGTAGGTCAATTCTGTCGCATCCTTGAGAGCCACAGTGTAATTGGTTCTGGTTTCACTGGGCTGAAATATTATCCAAGATATACAGTAATAATGGTGAGGCCTGAAAGCAGCATCCCTATAGCTGCACGAGTCCCTGGGGATGCCGGCGTGGAGGCAGGACGCTGTCCGGTTGTGGGTTTCGGGTTGTCGAGCGTGAGTTCGGTAAGGAGGCGAGGATAGAAACCTGCAGGGCGTCTGTCAGCCAGGACTGAACCGGGCCTGGCGGGTGTGTGTTTGGGGGGGGGGGGGGGGCATCTCTAGGGGGGGGGGGGGGGGGGGGGGGGGGGGGGGCTCATCTGGAGGGGAGTAGCGAGGGAGGGGGCTTGTCTAGCTGCTGGCGCACATTCAGTCCCTCGATCATATACGTATGTCTGGGGTCTTTTCCTGCTCTATTCTTTGAATGGGCAAATCCCCCTAAAACTCCACAAATATTTACATTACATCTATTTAACAGATGCTTTTATTCAGTGTGATGTACATTTTTGAGAAAGCTGGGTCAGACAGTTAAGGGGCCCAATGGTGAAATCACCCTGCTAACTACGGGATTTGAACCGGTGACCTTCCGATCACAGCATCATAACCCACTGAGACACAAGCTGCCCACATGCATTCCTTCAAATGATCTAGTAAGATTTTATCACTTTTTTTTTTTTTTTTAATCATTAAATGTCTCGATTTTTTTCAGTTTGTGAATGAATCTGACTTAGTGGGAGAGAATAAAGACAGTGGGTGTTTCTGTGGTTTCATGAGAAGTATGGAGAATAAAGTCCTTTTATTTCCTGTTTGGGCAATTATATTTTAAACAAAGGGATGCCTTACATACTCAATCTGAAGTTTGGCTGATAGAGTTTTACTGGCTTGATTTTCTGCCATTCAGAGCCAGATAGACTGTGTGCAGGAGATACAGTGTGGGGAAGGAGAATGATACGAGACATGGGAGCCAGATGGGTGGGGGTGGGAAGAGCGTTTATAGCCACCTGATAGATAGCGGGCTGCATCACCCTGCACAAATGGGCTTTTCTCATGTGAAAGCCTAAAATTATGGCTTCCGTCACTGTTCACATTCAGCTTTCAGTTTTAGACTTATTAATGCATTATTAATGCCTTATCTGAAGTAAAACGAGCCCTCTGCTCGCTGTCCTCCTCGCACCGTCACTCTGCTCTCGCACCGTCACTCTGCTCACTGTCCTCCTCGCACCATCACTCTGCTCGCTGTCCGCCTCACACCGTCACTCTGCTCGCTGTCCTCCTCGCCCCGTCACTCTGCTCGCTGTCCTCCTCACACCGTCACTCTACTCGCTGTCCTCCTCACACCGTCACTCTACTCGCTGTCCTTCTCGCCCCGTCACTCTGCTCGCTGTCCGCCTCACACCGTCACTCTGCTCGCTGTCCTCCTCGCCCCGTCACTCTGCTCGCTGTCCTCCTCGCCCCGTCACTCTGCTCGCTGTCCTCCTC